AATGTAGTAAATATTTAGCTTTGCTTTCTTTCTAGCTTCTTTTTTTTTTTATTTTATTGCTTCTTTACTTTTTCTCTTTTTGAATTAAAATACACTTTTGAGCCACACACCACCCATCCTGTACAAAATTCCTCTTTTTTTTTTTTAATAGAATACACATTTTACATTTTTTGTTTGCTAAGTTGGTTTTTGTTTCCCTGCCACTTTTTTCCTTGTACAAAGTTTATCTTTTGTTATTGTTGTTTCATGCTAAACATTTACGCGCGTCTGTTTCACATTTAAAAATTAACATCCCACCACCACCACCACCACCAACAATACCAACAATCATTTTCTTTTCGACACGCATGTACTTTTCACCACTTTTCTTAATTTGCTATACACATTTACAAATACAACACTCGAGCTACAAAACGCGGGCGCGTATCGTCATATAGCAGAAATAGAAGCTAAAATGCGTTGAATGAAATGTAATGTGTTATTGCGCGAAAAAAAAAATATCGACGATCAGATCGTTTTGGTCGGTAACAGACATTAACGTAAACAATAATAATGAATGATTGTGTACCAACGACTACTCACAAAAGGAAATAATGAGATTAGAATTTTTTAATAACTAACCTGATTGATCGCTTGCTATCACTCATATTATCAAAAGCACTTGCAGCAAAGTGTTTGTATAAAATTCTCACGCATTGATCATTTGACCACTGAAGTAATCATGGCTGGCTAGATGGGTGGGCTCTATCTTTCACACCCTTTCCCAAATCAATTACATAGGGAATTTGTATAAAAATACTTTATTAGAACAAAAATAAAGTCATACAAAAATAACTCGATTTTTTTTTATTTATTCGCTCTTGCATTCGATGGACCAATAAACTGTGACCTTTGCAACTGTCTCTAGCGTTGCATCCCTTAGAATAACCTCAGTTTCTTTTTCCACTTTACCACTCATGAATCCGGGATTGAAACTACAAGTCCCAGTGATCAGGCCTAATTTTATTAATTATTATCATTATGATTATGATTATTATTATTATTATTATTATTATTGTTGCTGTCTTTGTGTTTAACCGTTTATAGAACAAATAAAATAAAAAACTGAAGTGTTAATTACCTCTTGCTTCTTTGAAATACTGTATTATTTTTTTATTGGCGTTAATATAAACATTTATGGAAATCGAGAAATTGAGCAAGAATGATACAAGAAAAAACCTGCCTCACAATTTATTCTCGCGACTACAACGTGATCTTTCTTGCTCAATTGTGTAATTACCGCTAACCCAGCTATTGTTTCGGCAAATGTGCAAAGAGCACTCACGTGAATGCTACGAAGCGGATTATGTATGCGTCTTTCTTCCTACGTTTGAAATACTATTAATATTCTTTATGTTTTGAATATCGTTCGCAATAATCGTATTTTTTGTGACACCTTTAACACTGCCGAACATAGACCCTTTTCTAGCGTTGTGACACGAAGATCTGTTCGACAGAGAATGGTTAATCATCCAAAAATTATTTGCGTTAGTTCATATTAAAAGTATAATGAAAGTTACTAAGTCCACGAGTATAAGGAATCACGTATCCCAGCAAAAAAGTAAATCCTAGAGAACGAAGGCGTCCTGCTCGTGCCAGAGTCCTCCAGATTTCGAGAGGGTCTCGTACTAATAAACGAAAAAGAATGCGAGTAAATATTGAATAATTTTAAGAAACGTGGTTTCAAGATCGACTTTTTGAAGAAAGCTATAATAACATGCATTCACATACATTTACTTGCTTTTTCTGAAAATTTGCTTGAAGCAGCTATTAAAATAGCAAGTACGATTACAATGAAGCCAATAATGTAAAGTAAAACCATTGCTGAAGTTTAAAAAAATAATTTTTAAAGAAAGATTGACACATTTCTATCGCATATATAAATGAAAATTTGTGATAGATCGACATGATTGGCAATGTGTTTACGCATTATTAAAAAAAAAAGTTAGATCACACACAGTTTATTTAAAAGATGGAAGACCCTCTTTATGACGAATTTGGCAATTATCTTGGGCCTGACCTTTCCGAGTCAGAGTCAGACATAGAGGTGGAGCAAGAGGAAGCGCCTCAGCAAATTCAAGAAGAGGAAGTTGAGGAACAATATGAAGATCAAGAT